TCGTGTCGCAGCTCCACCTCCGGAAGGAACCGACCGGCTTCCTCAGCGCAGAAGGCTACTGGTTCCTGCGGGTGCCCGGCTGGACCAGCGTCGAGGTCAAGGGCGACGTCAAGGAACTCAGGAACAAGATCTATCAGGTGAGAGGGCGTTGAGGGAGGAGGTGGAGGGGCGTGACGGCGGCGGCTGGTTTTCTTTTCTTTTCTTTTTTTTGCAGATTTATCCATTTATTTGTTTGGTTGTTTGTATGTTTTATTTATTTGGTTGTTTGTATATTTATTTATTTGGTTGTTTGAATGCATATTCATTTGGTTTGTATATAAATCTATTTATCTATTTATCTATTTATCTATTTATCTATTTATATATCTATTTTTTTCAGATTTATCCATTTATTTGTTTGGTTGTTTGTATGTTTTATTTATTTGGTTGTTAGTATACTTATTTATTTGGTTGTTTGAATGCATATTCATTTGGTTTGTATATATCTATTTATTTGTTTGTTTGTATATTTATTTATTTATTTGTTTGTTTTGTATATTTATTTATTTATTTGTTTGTTTGTATATTTATTTATTTATTTGATTATGTATTCGTCTAATTGTTTACTGTTTACTGTATTTTTTTTTGTTTACTAATTGACTGTGTTTATCCTCCTGCACCCCCTCCTCCACCCCCTATCCGCCCCTAGTTCGACGGCGAGGTGCGCTACGGCCCGGACTGGGTGCTTGAGGTGGGGGGGCGGTACGGCGACCTCTCGACGCGCCTGCAATCTCTGCACGACCTGCTCCTCGACGTGACGCTGCCCGGACGAGGCCTCACGCAGATCAACGCGACCTTCCACGCCAACGAACGCCAGATGAGTGTGGTCACGCACGTACGTCTGTTGGAGTCTTGTATGATGCGATTTTTTTTTTCTTTTTTTTTCTTTTCGTAAACGTACATATATATGTATTTTTTTTCTTTTCATAGATGCATTTTTTTTCTTTTCTTTTCTTTTCGTAAACGTATATATATATATTTTTTTTCTTTTCAGAGATGCATTTTTTTTTCTTTCCGTAAACGTATATATGTTTTTCTCTTTATAGATGCATTTGTTTTCTTTTCATGAATAAACGTTTTTTTTCTTTTCATAAATAAACAATTTTGTTCTTTTCATAAATATAATTTTTTTGTCTCTTAAATACTCTTCTCTTTTTTTCTTTTCTTCTCTTTCATTTTTTTTCCTTTTCACATTTACGTTCCTGCTGACAATGTTAAACGTAACCAGAAAAAAAAATACTCAAACAATATTTAAAGTAATACTCAATACATTATTATTTACTTAACTTCTAACAAAATACAAAAAAAAAAAAAAAAATACAATACACTCTCCATCCCTTCCCTGTAGGTGTTGATCAATAAGACTGACAAGTATGGCGTGAAGGCGTCCTATGTCCACGGCGAGGACGACTTGAGGGTGAGGGAACACAGCGTCAACCTCGAGCTCTACCTTCCTGGGCGTCAGTACAAGCTCCATACTGAAATATCCATCGGGACCGTCATCACCGTTGTCAATGATATCCATCTCGATAGGTAGTTTTTTTGTGTTGTTTTCTTCCCCTTTGGATGTTTGTCTTGTTTGTTTGTTTGTTTGTTTGTCTGTCTCTGTCTCTGTCTGTCTGTCTGTCTGTCTGTCTCTCTATATCTCTGTATCTCTCTCTCTCTCTCTCTCTCTCTCTCTCTCTCTCTCTCTCTCTCTCTCTCTCTCTCTCTCTCTCTCTCTCTCTCTCTCTCTGTCTGTCTGTCTCTCCCTCTCTCTCTCTCTCTCTCTCTCTCTCTCTCTCTCTCTCTCTCTCTCTCTCTCTCTCTCTGTCTGTCTGTCTCTCCCTCTCTCTCTCTCTCTCTCTCTCTCTCTCTCTCTCTCTCTCTCTCTCTCTCTCTCTCTCTCTCTCTCTCTCTCTCTCTTTCTCCCTCTCTCTCTCTCTCTTTCTTTCTTTCTCTCGTTGTTTGTTTGTTTCGTGTCTCTCCTTCTCTCCATGTATCTCTTATTTAACATTAGTATTTGTACAACAAAAGACAAGCAAATAGTAGACACCATCCAACTACTAACAAATAGAACGAGGCAAATTTAGTCACCCTGAAGATGTTTTTTCCATATGATTGGTAATGTCTGCAACACTGTTCCCCGCCAGGCACCGTGACATCCATATGCGAGTGACGGCAGACATTCTTCAGCCCAGGCAACGGGGGCTCAAAGCGCTTCTCAATTGGGACGCTAACAGGTACTGATTAAAAATAAAGGGATAGAAAAATCCAGAAAAAATAAATTGATTAATTGAAAACAATGTAATTGTATACACCTCTGTTATATTTTTATTTATTTATTATTATTTTTTTTTAGCAGTGTTGTATAATTTTGTAAATATAAACGTCGATTTTCGTATCATTTTCCCACGAGTAAGTATTTTTATCTCACGATGTTCCATTTTCTCACGTGTATGGTTTAGGGATCCCAATCAGAAACTGGACATCGAGGTCAGGTACGAGACACCGAATGACAGGCAGGTGACGATATTACTGGACAGCGTGTTAAGCTTCCTGGGCCAGCAATACCGTGCTAACTGGAGAACCAATAAGCTATGTGAGAACGCGTGTTGTTGTTCAAGTCTGATTGGTTTGTAATGCTCTCTCCTCTTATGGGTGAAGTTAGTGTTGTTCTGGTGTGTTATCAGCGTTTTCCCTTTTTCTTCTTTTTCTCTTCTCTTCTTCTCTCACTTCTCTTGACCACTTCCCTTCGATTACCACTTTTTCCCCTATTCTCTTCTCTCCCTTTACTCTTCCCTTTTCATTACTACACCCTCCGCTCTTCCTCTCCTCTCCCATTCTTTTCTCCCTCTTCACTCTTCCCCTTCAGCTACCACCTTCCTCTCCTCCTCCTCCTCCTCCTCCTCTACCCTTCACTCCTTCCACTTAAACCCCTTTTTAGCGAACTGCGAATAACATTTTTGCAATATTCACACTCTAAACCCTTTACGTATCACAACGAACAGTACAGTACATCGACCGCGACATGATCTGGGAACACAAAAACGAGGGCTCTCTCAGCTGGATGGAACCGAACCTTCGAGTGCAGGAGATTGCCACTAACTTCACCATCAGGTTCCGGCGTGGAGATACCGCAGAGTTGTATGGCAAAGTGGACATCACGACGCCTTTCATACACTGGAAGCAGAACTATCTTGAGGTCAAGTGAGTGTGTCTTTTTTTCTTTTCTTTTTTTTTCTTTATTAAGGTTCTGTATTTATGTAGGACGATTTTTGAGGTTTGTTTTCAAATTGTTGATAGTTGCATTGGTATTTTATACATGTAAGGATGATAAATAAGGGAAAGAGAAATGGATAAATAGGTTACAAAATAATTACGTGAAAAAATTACAAAGTCAGTACCATTCCTAAAGAAAAACACGAAACCGAATTGAAATAATGAATAGTTCTTTAACGACCTTGGCCATGTACCGCCGTTGATAACCAAGAAGATCCCCAAAGGCGCCTTCCTCCCCCTCCCCCCAGATACGCCCGCGACATGGACCACATCGAGAGCAGTCTCCGCTCGCGCTGGCACGACGGGGAGTTCCTCGACCTCCAACTGCTGGCGAAGAAGACGATCGACGCCTCCACCTTCAGGATCGAGACCAAGCTGGACGTGAGCTCGTCCTTCGAGGGTTTGGTCAGCGCCAGCACCGGCATCAGGCTCGAGAAAACGCCAGGGATCATTGATACAAATATTTACATACAGGTGCTTGAGTTTGGGAGTTTTTTTTTTTTTTTGTTGGGGGGGGGAGGATACTATATATGAATGAAGTTAGGAAATAATATAAAATAATCTGTGTGAGTGTTCATTTTGAATATAGAAATGAGGGATTAAAAGAAAGTAAAGTAATCTATGTCAAACAAGTAAACGAGAAATTGGTATTTGGTACACTTGAAATTTAAGGTTAATTACTGTATGACAAGTATGCCAGGGTTAGCATTAACAGCATACAATTATTTCCAACATTATTCTACTTCTCTTTCGACTTTTAAGTGAAAAAAAAATATTGATGTATTAGTTATTGCTATATCTATCAATCCGTTTACCTGTTAATATTACTCTCACCACTGTCACTTATCCCATTGCTATCTATCAGTAATCGGATGACAAAAGCCCCGCCCTCTCTTACCATCTCTCCCCCCACTCCTCCCTTCGCACAGTGGGACACAGACAGACTGGAACTAGCTCTCGAGGGCAAGGATGACAGCTATTACGACCAACTACGGTATTCTGTCTTCGGCCAAGTCTTGACAACCATCGAAGGCTACAGGGACATGTCAATTGCCCTCGACCTGGCCATCCTTCCGTCTGCCATTGACACCCGTGCCAAGGCCAAGTGGGAAGGGCACGAGTATAAGCTCCGTCTGACGGGTGAGGCTCCTTCCTGTTGCTGCTGTTGTTGAGGGCTAAGGAATTTCGCCTTTTATATTTCATCCAGTGAGGTTGTGTTTACATGATAGTGTTGTGAGTGGGTTTGTTATTGTTCTTGTATTTCGTTCATTTGTTTAATCTTTCTTGTTTTCTTTTTATTATCTGTTCGTTCATTTATAATATAATTTCTTTTTCTTATCTTTTTTTATTTGTTTAATTTGTAGATGGTGCGCTTCTATAACAGTATGTCACAGTAATACGCATTACACAGAAAAAAACAGCAAATTATACTTTGATAGCCACTACACATAAAAATGCATAGTAACAGAGATTACACACAGGAAAATCACAAAAATTATAATGATTACATAGAAATCAAAAGAGCCTGGGCATTTATAACCTCCTCCAGCTGATCATATACATTTTTATAAGGCTGATGAAACGTTTTAACCCAATAATCCTGCCCAGCAAAGATGAATGCCAGATGATGTCCAGTTTGAGTAAATTGCACGTAATCGCTAAAACATTAAAACAGTAAAACCTATCCACGAAATAGCCCA